AGGGACGCTATGTGTAGGCGCTTTCACTTTGGCAAGTGGAAAGAGAGCGAGTCTGAGTATGCGGGCCGGAGGGTCGTGCAGCACGCCGACCGCATCACGGTTGATCAGGAGAAGTATATACGTGAGCAACTGAGTCAGATGCATCTAGATCGAGAGAGGCGAGCTAGTCCTGAGCTGCCTCTCTCAAAGGATGAGATCTCGTCATATCGCACTGTCGTTGCTCAGGTGCAGTGGCTGGCGCGCGAGAGCCGCCCGGACGTGGCCTGTAGTGCTTCCCTCTTAGCTGCTGCTCTCCCTTCTCCCCTGGTCTCCGATGCTCTCGTCCTGTCGAAAGTGGTTGAGTTTCTCAAGGGCTCCTGCGAGCAAAAACTTACCCTCTGGTCCCTGGACCCGGTGTCCCTCACTTTCGTTGCCGCGAGCGATTCGGGAGGCCCGGGAACCGCTCGGCGAGGCGGAGCGCAGGGGGCGTGGATCGTCATGGCTGCGGACGGTGGCATTCGCCAGAACAAACGATCGAAAGTAAGTGTGCTGTCTTGGCGTTCCCTGAGAATAAAGAGAGCCGTCGCCAGCACAGTGGCGGCGGAGACGTTGGCCCTGTCCGCGGCCACGGCCGAGGCCCAGTGGTTGCAAGTCCTGTTTAGGGGCGCTGTTTTTAACGATGTCTCGAGGCCCGATTGGTTCAACGGGCAGGCTCCGTTCACGGTCGTGATGTCCCAAGATTGTCAACTTAGCGAGGCGGCCTCGTGCCTCTCTGTCGCTGACAGTCTCTCCCGTAACTCTGCCGGCTCGAGAGCCGATAGACGAAATGCTATCGAACTTACCGTGATTCGAGACGCCCTGTGCTCGATAGGTTCCCAAGTGCGGTGGATGCCACACGCTAGGATGCCTGCGGATCCGCTGACCAAAATGGACCCGTCCCGCGGCAACCTGGCATTGCATGACTTGCTTTGTAGGGGGACCCTGTCCCTGGTGGACGAACACGGCCACTTGACGGAGAGAGCCCTCAACGAGGCCCTAAAGAGCAGGTCCCGCGGGGCCAGTAGGCGCGCCCTCGAGCTAGCAGCTAAGGTCGAGTCCCCGAAGATCGAGTCAGCTGAGGTGAGGAGGGGCCCAGGGCTCCCCGAGGTAGAGGAGGAAGAGGAGGAGGAGGAGGTAGAGGAGGAGGAGGAGGAGCGCCCAGGAGAAGACAGGAACACGGGTGAGGTGAGGGGCGGAGGAGGAGAAAGAGGAGGAGGAGGAGGAGGAGGAGGCCCAGCGCGCGGGCGACCGCAGACACCCGCGCGCCAGATCCCGTCGCCCAAAGGGTGTGCCGGCCTACGTCAACATGGAGGCCGGTGCGACCAGCTGCCTGGCGGAAGCGAGCCTCGAGCTCGCTAAACCCGCCAAAGTTTGGCCCGCTGTCCCCCTCGGGCCCCGGGGCCCGGGTCTCGGAGGTCCGTGGGGTCCCGGTGGCCCTCTGGCCCTTGAGGGCCCCGGTCCCTCCCTCTCCACCTCCCCTCTCCCGCTCTCCGGGTTTAGCTACGGGTTAGGGCTCGGACTTCTTCCGTAGCCCTTTGGGCTTAGGCTGTGCGCCTGGCGCTTAGCAAAACACATCCCCCCTCCTTCGCCCCCTTTCCACGCCTCCTGCCGTGCTCTCAGCTTGGGACACTACCACTTGTTTTCTGCTCCTTGCCCGCCTCCTGCTAATTTCTCTCGTGCTCCATTGTTCTCACTCCCCCTTCCACCCGTCTTCTCTTCCGTTGTTTTAGGGGCTGCACTGAATGCGCGTGGCAGGTGAGGAAGATCTACCCCCAAGGGGGTACGATCGAAGACGACGAGGGCGGGTACCGAGGGTTTGGGATATACGTGTTGATTGGCACGTGAGCAGATCGGAGTGAACAGCCTTAAAATGATTGTTGTCGTTGTTATTGTTGCTACTGCTGCTGTTGTTGTTGTTGTTGCTGCTCTTGTTGTTGTTGTTGTTGTTATTGTTGTTGTTGTTGTTGTTATTGTGGTTGTTGTGGTTGTTGTTGTTGTTGTTGTTATTGTTGTTGTTGTTGTTGTTGGTGTTGCTGTTGTTGTTGTTCTTGTTGTTGTTCTTGTTGTTGTTGTTGCTGATGTTGTTGTTGTTGTTGTTGTTGTTGTTGTTGTTGTTGTTGTTGTTGTTGTTGTTGTTATTGTTGTTGTTGTTGTTGTTGTTGTTGTTGCTGTTGCCATTGCTGTTGCTGTTGCTGGCGCTGTTGCTGCTGTTTTTGTTGTTGTTGTCGTTGTTTTTGATGAAGGAGGATGATGAGGGGAAGGAGTTTGAGGAGTAGGATCAGGATGAGGATGAGGATGAGGAGGAAGAGGAGGAGGAGGGGGAGGAGGAAGTGGTGGAGGAGGAGGAAGAGGAGGAGGGATGGATTCCTCCTCGCAGGGCTTCAGCGCAGGGCTTCTCCAGGCCCAAGCATGAGACAGACATGTCCTCCCCCGTGTCCTCCCCTGCCCCCTCGTCGGTCCGCCCGCGACGAGAACGGGCACTCGCTGCTGCACTGGGCCGCCCTGGGAGGTGCCCCTGGGCTGGGTGGGGGCGGGGGTGCGCCTCCTTCTCGCAGCAGGTGGAGGTGCAGGTCAAGTTTGGCAGGGAGGGCCTCTTCCTCAGTCTCCTCGCCAGGCCTCGGGAGGTGTAGGGCAGGGATGGAAGGGAGGACCTCCTCCTCGAGGCCTCCTCGCCAGGCCTCGCCCTCCTCATAACAGCGGAGGTGGAGGGGAGGAGGGCGGGCGCGAGGGCCCGCAGGGCTCGATCTTGATGCTGCGGGCCTCGCTTGCCGCTGCCCGCTTCCTGCCCTTCTTTTCCTCCGCTCCCGCACCCGCTGCCGCTCGCGGCCCACTGATCCTCTCCAGGGCGGGCCGGGTGTTTCGCCTGAGACTTCTTTCGCTATTGATGGTTTTTGAAATATGAAGTTTACAGCGGTTTTCGGGTGGAGGATAGGTCGTTTTCTGACGTCGGCTCTGGCCTTAGCGCAGCACATATTCGTTTTCAAAGCTCGCAGCAGCTTCGCGGATGGAGGGCCGGTCCTTTTCAGCATGTGGCTGTCGCTGTTGCGCCGCGCACATTCGCCTTACAGCATTGCAGCAGCTTCAAGGATGGAGGGCGGGTAATTTTCAAGATGTGGCTCTCGCATTAGCGCCGAGCACATTCGCTTTCATAGAATTCAATAGTTTCAAGGATGGATGGCGCGCCGGTTTCAAAATTGCGGCTCTCGCCCTAGCGCCGAGCACATTCATTTTAAAAGTTTGCAGCATTTTTGCGGATGGAGGGCGGCTTCTCTTCACAATGTGGCTCGCGCCTTAGCGCTGCTCACATTCGTCTTGAAAGTTTGCAGCAGTTTCAACGACGAAGTGCGGCGCCCTGTCAAAATGTGGCTCTCACCCTAGCGCTGCGCACATTCGGTTGAAAGGCTTGCAGCAGTTTCACGGACGGAGGGCTGCTCCTTTTCACGATGTGGCTCTCGGCCTTAGCCCCGCGCACATTCGTCTTAAACGCTTGCACCAGTTTTGAAAGTGGAGGGTGGTTCCTTTTCAACATGCGACTCTCGGCCTAGCGCCGCGCACATTCGTCTTAAAAGCTTGCAGCAGTTTCGCGGATGGAGGGCTGCTCCTTTTCACGATGTGGCTCTCGGCCTCAGCGCTGCGCACAGTCGTCTTGTAAGTTTGCAGCAGTTTCACGGATGGAGGGCGCGTCGTTTTTACCATGTGTTTCGCCTTAGCTACGCGCGCATTCGTCTTAAACGTTTGCACCAGTTTTGAAAAGGGAGGGTGGTTTCTTTTTTTAAATGTGGCTCTCGGCCTAGCGCCGCGCACATTCGTCTTAAAATCTTGCAGCAGTTTCGCGGATGGAGGGCTGCTCCTTTTCACGATGTGGCTCTCGGCCTCAGCGCTGCGCGCACTCGTCTTAAACAATTGCATCAGTTTGGAAGATGGGTGGCGGTGCCTTTTCAAACTGTGGCTTTCGCCCTAGCGCCGCGCACATTCGATGTAACCGTTTGCAGCAGTATGGTTGAAGTCCCAGGGCGTTTTTTCAGGCACGGTTTAGGACTCGACTCCACAGTATCGATGTTCCGCGGCATTGAAGTCTTAGGAAGTGTGTTCTGACACGGTCTAGATTTGTCGGGACGCAACAGTCACGTTGGTTCGCAGTGTTGGAGTCCTCATCATGGTGTTTCGGCACCATTGAGGATTCTCAGACGGTTGCTTTCCAATGGGGCATTACCCGCGGTGAAAGCCGTGTGGGGACTCATGACGAGGGAGTTCGGAGGGAGGGCTCGTTCAAACACCGTTGAGGCGCCTTGGGTCTGCACTGGTCCTCCTCCTCTTCCTCCTCCTCCTCGGATCCGGCTGCTCCTCCTCGTTGGATCGCCGAGAAGGAAGCAGCAAGGCAGGCCTAACAAGGGTGGCTAAGCATGGTTCGGCGACGACAGAAATTTTCCCCCTCCCACCTCTCCCGCTGCTTCTGCTGCTCCGCTGCTGCTTTTTTTCTGCTCCGCCTGCCCCTTTTCCCCTGCTCCCCCCTTGCTCCCTCTCCCCCCTTGCTCCTTCTTCCGCTCCTGCCCCTGCCGCTGCCCCCGCTCCTCTTGCCCCTGCCGCCCCTGCTGCTGTAAGAAGAGGCACACGTACCGCCCTTTTCGAGCCTCTGGGGCGGCCCTCGTCGCCACCGCTGGATTCGCCTCGAAGTCCTGGTCAGAACGCACCCCGGGAGAGGTCCAGGGAGTGGCGGCATCGGGTACTCTGGGTTTCTTACTCGGCGTGGGGGGGTACCACCCCGACGGGGGTCAACCTCGCCTCGCCGTCGCGCCGCGACGGGGGTCGGAGCGCCTTCGGCGCGCAGTGGCTGCCCGCGACGGGGGTCGATGTGGGGCTGTCGGCGGGGGTGACGCCACTCCCCCCCCGACGCTCTGTTCAGAAGCTCGGAGTGCCCTCTCGGTCTCCCCCGCTCCGCCTCCTCTGCTCCTCGGGGCCGCGGGCCTCCCGGGCCCGGGGAGGCTGCCTGCGCCTCGTGTCCGACGCCCTGCGGCAGGGCACGCCAGCGGACGTCAGAGGTGGGCGGGAGGGCAGAGGTCAAGGGGGCAGCGCCGGGGGGGGGGATGGGATGGGCTCAGGGTTACTTGGGTGAACTTCTGGGATAAATGACAACTCTAAGTGGGCCATTTTTGGTAAGCAGAACTGGCGATGAGGGATGAACCTAACGTTGGGTTAAGGTGCTTAACTGCTCGCTCATCAGATACCATAAAGGGTGTTGGTTCATTTTAACAGCAGGGGCGCTGCGTCGACCCCCGACCCATGGGTCGTTGGAAGCAGGTACTGTTGGGCTCCCAGGGCCCAGTCCACTTCAAGCGCCTTCCTACTTCGAGGGTCGAGGTGCTTCTGCTGCGTTTTGTGGCTCTCTGGGCGGGCCCGAAGCCAATCTGCTCTGTCCGCCTTCCTGCGCACTGCCTACTTCTTCCGACCGATGGGCAGGGTTGCCCCTCAAAGGAGGGCATGTACGGCCAGGGCCCGCGCCCGCCAGAGGTTCGAGAGCGCAAGCGCTTCGCCTTCCGGTGTGTGTCGGTCTTCGCCTGGCTCTTTGACCCTGCCACTCGCTCAGCTCGCCTCCGGCCTGGGACTCCTCGGCGGTGCTCGAGCGCTTTCGCCACTCGTGCG